ATGTTAAACCAAGACACACAAATACAAATGAACCCAGATTATTCAAATGAAAACAGTTCTGAACAGCACAAACCTACAAAAAGTAGTGGTTATATTGAGACAGAAAGTAAATTAAAAATGTAATTATTTTATATTTGCAATTAAATAATTATATTTTATTATTTAATAGATAGTATTTCTGAGATGAATACTGATATATTGTCATCTAAGAATAATGAAACTGCTGATGTTTTGTTTGAGCCTAATGATAATCCTGGGTAAGTTATTTTATGTTAATATTTTAATAATTACTTGCTAGATACCTAAATAATTTTAATAATTTTAATATGATCCTATCCAATCTTCTTTCGGCCAAAATTGATTCTCCTTTTCTCTTATCCCAAATTAATTTTAAAGCCCCGTCTCGTACGACTCGTTGTTCTGACCTCTTCCACATTCCTCGCTCCTCTTCAGTCTTCTAATCATCTTGATAATTCTCCTCTTGTCCGCCTCATGCGAGCAGCAAATAATGACCCCTCCTTTTCCTTTTAATTGTAACTACTATTATTTTTATTTTTATCTTAAGTGTTAATCACATATTATATATATTATTATCATATTGTTATTCTTATAATTTCTATTGTAATTTGGACATTGTCCGTTTTTGTATAAATAAATAAATAAATAAATAAATATAAATAAACACTATTCTAATACAAATACTGTTCTAATTTCTAATATTTATGTGTACAAATTTGGAAGATGTAATAAAATAGTTATGAAGGAATTAAGTGATAAAATAAAAATGACATAATTATTAGTTTTGTTTTAAAATAACCATGTTCAGTGCTTGTTGTGTCTTTGTAATGCTTTTTCATACCAGTCACTTAATTTTAGTATTTATAGATTAAAATTTAATCAATTACAATATAATAGTTATTTTTTATAGATGTGATCCTGCTTTATGGAAAATAAACGAGTTCACTATAGAATATATTTGTATTAACGGATTTTCTCAAGATTTAAATGATTTAAATTTTACCAAATCTAAACGAGCATATACAAAACTTTACAAAAAAACTACTAAAACCTACTATAGGTACAAATTTAAGTTTTAGTAACTAATGATATTAATATAATACATTTTAATAACTCAACCTTATTTTATATTTAATTTTAAGGTTTTGCAATAAAAACTATTGGAATACAAGACTAACTAATGGTGATTCAATTAAACGTAATTTCATTGCATATTCAGAAAGTAAGGGTGTAATTTACTGTATCCCATGCTTGTTGTTTGGCAACATACATTCACCTTCATTTGCTTCAAAAGGATTTTCAAACTGGAAAAGAGCTGAAGAGCTCATATCACTACATGAAAATTCTTTAAAACATCGTTCAAATATTCTAGCTATGAAAAACCGAGGACAAACACATCAAAGAATTGATCAACAAGTAATACAACAAATTGAAAATGAACGTATATACTGGATCAATGTTTTAAAAAGAGTTGTGGCAATTGTTAAAACATTGGCATCAAGAGGTTTAGCATTCAGAGGACATACTTCAAAAATTGGATGTCCACATAATGGAAACTTTATGATGGCACTTGAATTATTAGCTGAATTTGACCCTTTTATATCAAATCATATTTCCAAAAACGGTAACCCCGGTAAAGGTCATACTTCATATTTATCACATTATATTTATGAGCAGTTTATTTTATTAATGTCTAAAAAAGTATAAAATACTATTATTCAAGATGTCAATACTTCAAAATATTTTTCAATAAGTGTTGATTCAACACCAGATATTACCCATACTGATAAACTTTCTTTAGTTGTACGGTTTGTTGATAACAACGGTAATGTGTTTGAGCGTTTTTTATGTTTTATGAATAATGTTGGACATAAATCAGAAGATATGGCTGAAGCAGTGATAACAATTCTGAATAAGTACAATTTGAATCTTAACTATTTAAGAGGGCAGTCATATGACAATGCGAGTAACATGTCGGGTAGTTACTCTGGATTACAGGCTAGAATAAAACTTATAAATCCATTGGCCAAGTTTGTTCCCTGCTCGGCTCACTCATTAAATTTAGTGGGACAAAACGCGGCCAGCTGTTGTAATGAAGCTATTCATTTTTTTAACTTTCTTCAAAACTTGTACACATTCTTTTCGGCATCAACTTACCGTAGGCAGATTTTAAATTCTTCAATCAAGAGATTGTCAGATACAAGGTGGTCTGCAAGAGATGATGCGTGTTATTCATTGAATAAAAATTGGTCGTCTATAGAAAATGCTTTAATTAAGATTGGAGAAAATGAAAAAGAAAAACCAGCTATTCGATGTGAAGCAAATGGTATACTYAAAATACTTAAATCATTAGAAACATCTTTCTTGTCAATTTTTTGGGGAGACATATTACATAGGTTTAATACAGTTAGCAAAAAACTTCAAAGTGTAGATATTGATTTAAGT